AAAATAATATTATATATTTATATAAATATAAATATATAATTATATATTTATATTTTTTTTTTTTATATATATATATATATTTTTTTTTTTTTTTTTGAGGTGGTCTGAATACGACTAATACTTCTTTAATTTGTAAAGTTGTTTAGCTGCCTAAACACACGGATGAAAAGTATAGATCACCTTTGCTGTATGTGCACTCATGTAATGCACATTTAAACATGAGGTCTCAAAAGACACTGATTAATTGTTGTCACAGATTCTTACGTTTTCAGCGTGCCCGATGTCATTAGCTCTGTCACAAGGACGATGCACTTCTTCCCTTTTACTGGTGACTCCCAGAAGTCATAAAATCGCACGATGTTGGGGTGCTGCAGGGCCTTCAGCATCTCTGCCTCCTCTTTGAACCTCTGCCTCTCCGCTTTGGATAGTTTTCTTTCCTGGGGAAAAGGAAAGAAAACCTGTGAATTGATGTCATTTTTCTAAAAGTCTCACTCACACTAATCCATAAATAGAAGACTTTTCTTTCTTTTTTCTTCTTTTTTTTAATGAACACATGTTTTGCATTGTACTTTATATCAAACTCAAAGGCCCATATCAGGTGAACTGTATTAATATTTTGGGATTTTTATAAATAAAACAATACTCAAGATATACTGTATTTGGGAACAACATGAAGTTACTGATCAGCGGTTGCAATAAACCTGTCATGCATCAATTCTGCTTATGTACAGGATTCTAATTTGCATTAGTAAAATATTTTTTCTGTACTACGAGGACACCAAAACCAAAACATCCCTGTAAATCTGGCCCTGTCTGCCTGTGTTGTATCAAGTCCAAAGTCAGCCTAGATGTCCACTTGGACAATTTAGAGCTTTTTATGTGTCCCTCTGCTGACCAGCTTTATAGAGGCGGGACAGATGAGAAACATCAGACACAACACTGCAACTTTTCCATTATACTCTACGTTAGCTTTTCACTTTGTTGGACCGATTTAACAAAAGTACCATAACAACTTTCATCCTGACTGAAGGAGTGAGCTTGACTGGGGCTCCCTTAGGATTGTCTGAGGCTCGTGTTTGGAGTGAACACAGCTTTGGCATTTTTGATGTGGCTGAACATGGGGGTCTGACCCATTTACTCTCTTTTTCAGCACTGTTTATAAAACATACAAATCCCAAACATCTCAAAAACCCACAAGTGGGATCAACACGTAATCAGAGGACGGATGAGTAAAAGCCTCATTGTTTTGTCTGAAGCGGTAAAACAGACAAAGTCACGTCTGTCGAGGCTAATACGCGAGAGATTTCTTCATAACCACAAAGGCGTCAACACAAACTCGTGGCTTTGATGCAGTGAGTGCATCCACCTTCAAAGATGTTAAAACTTTAATTTTCTGTGTACTGTGCGTCTGATTGAATCTGTTTAGACTGGATCAATATTTTTGACCCCTGCCTTCCCTGAACTGTTGTATAAATAGTAAAAGAGCTGACAGCAAACATCTTCTGCATCGCGTTTTTCTCTCCAGTCAGCAGTGCAGCAGCTACAGCGGCCACAAATTTCTAGGCGTCTTCTGGATTTCCGCTGCTACTCTTGCAAGAGGGACAATATAACTGGAAGAAATAGGTTGCAGTTCCCGTTTCAAATGAGTGGGGTGCTCAGTAAGTTATTGACTGACACGTAGGAATCGGATTTCACTCAGCTCCCACTGTGACCTAATGCATCTTGCATTATGCAGCTTCTGAAGCTTCCTTTGTGACTCAAGTTCTCACTGAAGAGCCTGTGTTGTCCTTATGTCCCTATTGTTTCTTTTTAGGAAGTTTGCAAACAATTTAGTAAAGATGCTTTACAGGGAGAAGGTCTCCGTGTGACATCATGTACATAATGATCGTTTTGCAGGAAATATAGTACAGAAACTTATATTTAAACGTAAAACATGAGAGCCAAATGTGCACATGTATTGAAAAACTATCTCTCTGCGTCACGTTCTCCATATTTGCTGCTACCCTTAGCCGAACTCAGTCTTATCTCATCTGTGTGTTGGCGCAGAGTGCTGCATCAGCAAGAATCTCTCCAAATATATCTTTGTGTCCATACTGAGGGGGGGTTTAAACAAGTGTTTTAAGTGTTTAAAACAAATAACCGGGTGCGAGATGAAGATGAAGATCTTAACTCAGCCATAATGTTGCATTTTACAAACTGATCTGATCATTTTGCTCAAATGACTTCCTCTGCAAATGTTCGACAGTTGTTGAGCAAATGAATGTCAAGAGAAGCTGCCTGTGTTGCTTTTTCTCTCCTTTGGTTTTGATTCACAAATCTTTATAAATTTGTGATTAATGCTGACTCACTTTCAGAGCTTCGGTAAACGTACACACAGTAAAAGAAAAGCTTCAAAGGCATAGATGCTCTAAAGGGCACAGCCTCGTCTCCAGGGACAGGATGGTTGAATCATCGCTAGATCTCCCCTAAGAACCTGATCAGACACACAGCTCATACACTCTCCACATACACCTCTATGATATGGATGGCTGGGCATTATGTAAACATACATGCCGAAAATGGGTCCATGTTTTTTGGAATATTGTAAATTCTGAAAAACTGTGCAGACATCTTATATTTACTCTCTAAGAAGGATTTCAGAATGCACAAAGCTCCAAGACAATTTTTTTAAAGAGAATGAAGCAACAATTTTAGTATGGGATACAAGGGAGTGATACATAGAACATCTAGACTTTTCTCATAATGGTCTAATCTAAGTTTCATCTCTGGTTGATTATCAGCCTGCCAGGATTCTGCCCTCCCTGGAAACTAGACCAGTAGAAAACGTGAGATAAGCACAATGTAGTAGAGATTTAATTCCAGAGGCAGTCTGAAACTGATTGAGTAGGCCTTCCATTTTTGGTAATTATTCCCCGAGGCCTGATGCAGTGAACCTTCTGCAAAAGCAAGAAGATGGGGGAGGACTTTGCACAGACAATTGCACTTAATGGATTAAAAAAAAAAAAAAAAAAAAAAAAAAAAAAAAGGAGCCGGTATTTTCTTTTCCACAGCCCGGGACCTGTTCATGCGCCTTTCCCTGATGTATAACCCATTA